TATCTTTAGATGTCGTCCCAATAACTAAAATGTGTCTTTGCTATCTCTAGTTAACAGTAGATAGGGTGCCTATCTGAGCCCTCCCGTGTGTTTCAATATATGCAGAGCTCCACAGAGTGCCACTAAGTTACAATAATGTTTTTAAAGCATCTTGTCATGTTTATATCAGAAACATTTTGAATTAATTAACGAAACCTTATATTTTGCACTAATTTTATATTATACAATATTTTTTTAGGTTTAATATAACGAAAACTTCATGTTTGAGACTGGAATAGTGCGCGACTTGTAACGGAACGTATTTGTTAAAAGATTGACATTTGACATTGTTGTTTGTTGATTTTGTTTACAATAAATTGTGATAATTTATTATAACAAAGAATTGTTTGTTATAAAAATCACCTCAGTAAGTATTACAGTTTGTGCTTTTCTAGCTTTAGATTGAAGCTATTGAAGTTTTAAAGTTCTTGATTACATGAACATACATGTGACTAATAACTCGTGTTTGGTGCACTCATTGCAGCAAAAGAATATGCTATTGACGAAAGAAGAAGTAATGCAGCTGGTACAATTGGTGGAGGCAAATCCATTGATGTTCAGCAAAGCCACAAATGCAAGCAATAATCAGCTCAAAGATGCGACTTGGAGCATTAGGTATCACAGATAGTTTCTTGTGTATTTCATTTTTGGGGTTTGGTATTGGTTATGACTAATTACTTTTCAATACTGTTTGGTTACAAAACTTTTATATGGTGGTTGTAGTGAGGACCAAAATGGAATAATACACTGAATAATATTTTTCTAGGAAAACAGAAAAGACGAGCTGATGCAGATGAAATGAGTCAATTACAAATTGAAATCAGGCAATCGCAGAATATTACTTCCAAGCCAAAAATAAAACACGACGATGAAATACATGCATTAAAGAAACGGAAACTCTAGCTAGATATACTGGAGAAGGAGAAACAACCCAATAATAATTCATGTATTTAAATAAATTAAAACAGTTTATTCTAAACCATCTTTTTTTTACACTGTGTAATTTTGCAACACATAATAATTAAAATAAATATGTAGGTAAGAATAACTGACCTATCTATATTGATACAATTATAAATTTCTCAAATTTAGTCTTCTTAGCCTAAATCTATACACAAACTCGTAATCGTCATATCAATACATGTAATTAACACGCCCTTGATATGATCGTGTTGTGGTGTGGTGAGCACATCGTCCTCGTCAGATCCCCAGTTCCTTATTTGTTCCAAAATATCAATAGCACTTGAACTACTACTTGAACTGGAGACCGACATGATTTTTTGTTTAACTCGTCGAGTACCGGTTTTATAGACACAATTAAAGAACAATAGGTCGCGGTCACCGGTGACCGCTTGGTGTTTGACAGTTTAAATCTGATGTATTTTTAAGAAATAGAAAAGATATGTTACTGATCTTCAATGATAACTATACTCCTATCCATCAAAATCCTGCGATAGAGCTATAGCCTACTAGGGATAACCAAAGCTACTGACAGATAGCACCTTTGTTATTATTGGGACGCGTGAACTGTCAATTTCATAGTAAAAGCAATCTGTAGATAACCTATCCGTCCTCCCACAGGTAATGACAACCATAGATTAGTTTGCCTATCGCCAGTAAGCTTATTGAGACGGCAAATTTAAAGATAGATAGATTTTTCTATCTCCAGTAGGGCAAAACAAGGGATAGATAGAATATTGGGAACGGCCGTAAGGGTGATACACCCTATCGCCTCACTTGGGTGGGATAAATCATTGGGTGATTATTATGACTCCATGTAGGTAAGAGAAGATGAGCGTGTTCCCATTAACTGAATGCAATTTCAGACTACGTGCTACTACTTACTGAAAATTTCTTCATAACACATAACCGAAAAGACCTGCAACGTTTACTCAAGTCAATAATAAAATGATGTGATTCGTTTTTAATACATATAGATAACCTCCTTTTGGGAAGGCGTAACATCCGCTACAACTGTTAAGGACTTCCTAGGCCATTAAAATGTAATATTTTTTAATTATTATGTAACTGTGTCATAAATAAGCCAGAGGAGGTAATCAGTCGATAATTAATGTATAAAATATATATCTATTACAACCTACTTTGTCAATAGTAAAAAAAACGATCTACATAAGTTGGTTTATTACATACATACATAACATCACGCCTTTTATCCCCGAAGGGGTAGGCAGAGGTGCACATTACAATGTAACACCCACTTTTCACTATTTACGTTATGAGTCCCATGTAATAGGGGGTGAGCCTATTGCCATATACCGGGCACAATTCCAGACTCCGTGCTACTACTGAGAATGTTTACAAACTCAGTAATACTTTGCCCGACCCGGGAATCGAACCCGAGACCCCTTGCCCGGCAGTCGCACTTGCGACCACTCGGCCAACGAGGCAGTTTATTACACCGTTACTCCAAAAACGAAAAATGGCGTAAAGATAGATTATGTCGGAAACAGCACAACTCTACAAAGGCTACGTTTTGTTCTACATGAACGATGTCGCGGGCAACAGTTTCATTAATTTAAAACAACATAATTCGATCATTCCTTTATGTAAGGAAGCTTTTAAGACTGATTTATAGAACCTGTACCTATTAAAATTATTTAGAGCGACGTCAATCTGGTTTCTAGTTTAAAATATGTAGGTAGTTTAAGGATAAATACCAGGATGCACATTCATTAGATTTTTTTTTGTATCATCGAATGACCTTTCCCGCCTGGGTGAGGCGGGAGGGTGTGTTAGACTGACTAAAAACCACCCCGTCCCTTACCCGGGTTACCGGGGCTCCGGCTCGACGTGCAGAAGAAGTCCTGCACGTCGAGCCGGAGCCCCGGTAACCCGTTAGGTTCTCCGCGACATTCATTAGATATAATCATCATCATCATCAACAGCTTATAAATGCCCACTGCTGAGCAAAGCCTCTTCTCATATGGAGAAGGTTAGAGCAATAATCACCACGCTTGCTCAATGCGGGTTGGCGATTTCAAACTTATAATTAGAAATTATAAGCCCAGGTTTCCTCACGATGTTTTCCTTCACCGTTGGTCAGTGGTGTCTAAATAATCTTAGAAAGTACATTTAACTCGGAAAAAGTCACATTGGTACTTGCCGTTTGTAAGTTTCGAACCTGCACCCTCGTGCATGAGAAGCAGGTGTCTTCAACCTCCGGGCCACCACGACACTCCATATTAGATATAAGATAGACTTTATATAGGTCATCTTCTTTGGTCTGTTTACGCCCGTTGCTGGAAAAGGCTTCTCCAATGTCAAATTATTGTGTTCGATTTCGGCAACACATCTTCACATCCAAACAGCTAATAGTACGTAGCTGTAGGGTACCTTATAGGTACTACGGTTGACTATGTAGGTATAGACAGACCTTTACAAAAAAGATTTGATAATTATCTTTAAAACAGTACATATAAACAATAACAATACGGAGCACGCACTATGCTGATTCCATCAAAATGATCAATAAGCCTGACGATATACGCTATGTTACGTTTCATACATATTAACTTAAAATCTAAGCGAAACTCGGCAATGCCCGAAGGTTTGTAGCAGTAAACATTTAAAGGTTATTATTTAAATCGTTTCAATTCACAATTGGACACTCAAAAGTTCAACCACTCGGATACTTGATATAGATTACAAAAATATTTAATCGAACATTGTTCTAGTTAGATTTTGTAATGTAAAAGTTGAAATATTATGACTCTACTTAATTCAGGGCTCCTTCGAAAATCCTTCATTATCATCATCATCAAAATGTCAGTCACAACAAGTCCACTCCTGGACATAGACCTATCCCAGTGACTGCCGAATCAGCTGATTAGACGCAACATGCATCCAACATGCTTAGCATACCGAGGTATTTAATCTTAGCATAACTAGTGTAAAATGAACTAAAACTCGCGGGTTACTCACGTGAATATACTGAGAAAAGCTCTACTAGTTTCGAACCACAGAGGGGTTCCTCCTCATGAGCAGCGTGCGCAGTCGCGGCGATATTCACGTGTGTAACCCGCGATTTTTAGTGAATTTAGTTTGTCTCACGATAGTTATTATAAAAACATAGCGTAAAATGGGCGTCATATCGTTTATGTGCACCTTTCCCTATATCATTAAGTACCTATATTACCCTATATATTACCTAAGTTATGTTACCTATCAACAGGTAAGCCATTGGGAATCAACCAAAATGGCCTTCAAGGAGAAATGCGTGACCGCAGTACATAAACACGCAAGTTTTAAACAATAGCCTTTAGCTTTGACCCCGTTTTGTGCATCAATGATATCTTAGTGCTTTTATAGGAAAATGTAACAAAATAAACTGTATCTGTTGTCAAGAGAATAGAGATACTGTAGTATTCTTCATTATTTATACGTATTAAGTCTAAATAGTCTAGGTTCTGTTGGGAGTCTTGAATATTCTAGTCTCAATTCTTAAAGATAATGTTAACACTAATGTGCACCCAGTTCAAGAAGGCTTTAAGAATTTGTGGCATGTAAATTATTTTTATAACTAAGGAATTGTGAAGTCGACAAACCACAGTAGATAAATAGTGGGACCTTGAATCCCGGAAAATATTCGGTTTCTGTATTATGGATTTCTTGTAAACCAAAACTTAGCTTTGAAAGTTAATTACAATAGCCTTAAAGATAATTAAAATACTTAATGACTTTCATTGATCCCATTACAGCAATGTCACAACACCGTAAAAGCCTAGAATGCAACCAAACTGGTTCCTTGAAAAAACTAGATTAAATGTCCAGCATATTTCCCTCATGAATCATTTGTAAATGTGTCAACATGAGCATAACTGGCCAACGGGGGTGTTACGTTACCATAGGGCTCTGCGGAGAATAACAATATCGGAGCAACCACTGTGGTAACTTAGCGACATTATAAATACAAGTGGCCGTGTACCAAACGGCAGACGTGTGTTGTGATCGCTCGCCATAACGCGCGCGTAAACGCGGGAAAATTGAAAAGCAGCCATGTTGGTTTTGAAGGTAAGTCTATGGTTACAATTTGTGGCGGGAATATTTTGACGTTTCATTCTGGGCGGAAAAATTCGATGTTACTTCTAATTGGAAAACTTTTTATAAATGAATTTTGCGGTTTTATTATTGTGTTTTCAAGTGCCGGTCATTGATAGTTAGTTTCTTATTCCTAAAAGTGTTTGTCATTGTTCGAATTGTCATGTAATGGTGATCTAATCAAATGTAATAAGCTGTGAACTTGAATGCCTATTCATACAGGAAAATAGTGTGTATTTTTGGTGGTTTTCATAAGATTAAACAACTGATATTGGACGTAATTTTTCAAGAGATTAGTGACACGGTGTTTCGACGAAGATGATTGAAATTAGGCGGCAATTTTTAAACGATACATTTAACTTACCACAGTTTAAGAATAAATTAAAACAGTGAACACACAACAAAGAGAATGAATTGCCCCACGAGTGAATGCAACAAAGTTTTATCTTAATCTAGGCATGGTGTTCAGATTAAATCATCTCATAGAAATTATACAGAAACCCTTTTCGTAACAATAATTAGAGCTTAAGAATTAATGAGTTTCTCACGGGGTGCTTGTAATTGTAATATCTAGTGCTTATGTTTGCCCATTAACGTCCAATTTGCAATGTTTGCAGCAATTCGCTCTATTTCTGAAACACAGCGCTTTGTAGCATTAAGTGGCTTTTGTTGTTGATGTCTTGTTGTAATTAGCTGTCTACTTATTTCTTTTAAATGTTTCAATTTGTTATAACTATGGTATTGTTTTGGTTTTTGAGTGATTCTTACTCTAATATTCTATGTTGACTGGTTGAGTGAGGAACTTCTTCAAAAGTTTTGGTAAAGAAGAAACACAAATTTAAAGTTTGAAGTGAAGATTTAAATATATGTAGGTCACTCAAATGACACTGTGATTGATCAATTTAAATATTCCTGTAGCTTCGTCTGCCTAGTCTCAACCCCTCGCCCATAAAATTCGGAACCAAAAGTTAATTTAATTTCAGTTACTTAAATACAAAGGTTTTTAAAATTCATTAGAAATTTTTATAGGCTATATTCTATTAAAATGATATAGATAGAAATGGAAGCTATATTTGACACAAGTGACAGGAGATGCAGTAAACTGTACGATTTCTCAGACAGCAAAACCCCCACGAAGTTGACAACTTGATGGAATATTACAATGCGTAGCAGCAGGTTGTACTTATTTGCTTATATAAAGCTTAGTGCACACTGGTGTCTAGTATCGAGTGCTCTCGACCTAAATACGTGTATAAAATGATTAGACAAACTATTTACCTATCTGTATTTTTATTCAATCAATTAAGTTTTATTCACAGGTTTAGTCTTATCGATATTCTATTCTGACACCAAGCTCTTGAAAATACCCGAAATTGACAAAGTAATTTAAAAAAAAAATCAACTTTATCGCCTGCAATAAAGTTAATCGATTATTCAGTATTCAATACTTTTAAAATTATAAGGAAATATTTAGGTTATAACTTAAAGTCATTTGCAAGCATTCATTTCAATTAGACCATAATTTGATACTTTTGAAACGTTAGCAAATATAAAGTACCTAAATAATAGTCTGTCAGTCTGTCCGTTAGTGAAGCTAGCTGCTCGTTCAAAAAATAAAATAAAAATAAATACATGATATAATACATTTAAGGAAAAATTTTAATTATATAGAATTAAAAATAATAACTTTTTTATGTGATAATATTATAAGTAGGTAGTAATTCAATTAGATTATATTTTGCTCTATATGTTGCCGTGCCCTAACCGGGATTCATATTGAAACTGTACCCAATTATGAAACACCAATATTCGAATTTGAAATTCGAATTTGAAAATGTAGATTCGAATGGAAAAACTCAATTCGTTACTTTTTTAAGAAGAGTATTTTATTGGTAACCTCTTACAATTTCCAATTATGATATTAAATGGATTTGATATTATTTTGTACGCGAGGTATCACTTTATCTACATTACGTAATTTAAATAGTTACTTGAACAGATCCTTAACAACTCAGAAATAAACAAGTTTACGTAAATGAGTAAACAAGGCCAGAAAGTGAGTTAAATTTAAAATTTTATTGCGGCTAAAATAAATGGTTTCCGCAGTTTTAAGCTTTTACCAATAAGGATGCCACTGGCGATATTAAGTAGGGCTTATTAAGTACTTTTGATTATTTTGACTATTATTGATTACATTTTTTTGCCTATTAGAGTTAACGTCTATTACGTATTTAGATTTCTAGTTGGATAATTACCTCTATCAATAGGTACTGTTTAAATTGATTTATTCATATTAAATTTACAGCATTTCCCATTACCTACCAATGACAGATTTTTTGGAAAAGAAAATACAAGAAACCCACTTCTGCTTGTTTCCAAGTGGTCGATCTATCAAGTCATCGGGGGAGATCTATGTTCAACAGTAGACGTCTGTATCTGACAAAACTTCAAATTATTCTTCGCCTACCACAAAATATACATATAACATAACATTACATAACATCACACCTTTTATCCCCGAAGGGGTACGATGATGTGTACATTACGACTGTTAATGCCACTATCCAATGTAACACGTCGCGGAGAACCTAACGGGTAACCGAGGCTCCGGCTCGACGTGCAGGAGAAGGTACGGGGTGGTTTTTAGTCAGCAAGAGTCTGACACTCCGTCCCGCCTCACCCAGGCGGGAGCAGTCATTCGATGATTTTCCCCCCTTAAAAAAAAAATCCAATGTAACACCCACTTTTTACTATTTATGTTGTGAGTCCCATGTAATAGGGGGTGAGCCTATTGCCATATACCGGGCACAATTCCACACTCCGTACTACAACTGAGATTTTTTTTAAAAACCCAGTAATACTTTGCCCGATCCCTTGCTCGGCAGTCGCACTTGTGACCACTCGGCCAACGAGGCACGCACAAAATATACCTATGTAGTATAAAATATTAGGTATACAATAACTTAAGTCCAGCTTTCTTCCCAAGTATCGATCTATTTATCAAAGGCAATTTGCCAAAACATTTACCATACAATCGATTCAAATTCCAATAATAACAGACAAGTAATCTATTTCACAAGTTACAAGGAATGTAACACAAAAGTACGTGGGCGCGGTTCTTGCAACATTACGGTCTACGATGATAGACTGCTGCGGCTATCATAGCCGTTCGGTTAAGCTAAGTATAGCCTGTGGGATAGTTTGGCTATTATATTGGTCCTGTAATTAAGAAGTAGTTATGAGCTTTTGACATCGAGTTTTGTTATAAAGCGCACATGTTGCCCTGGAAACTCTTCTGGTGTTGCGAGTAACTATGGGCGATGTTGATTGTTTACCATGGTGTGATCCGTTTGCTCTAACTTTGTCCCATAAAATAAAGATTCCAAATTATATTTGACCTATTCCTATAATTCAAATTTACAAGTTTATCAATGGTTTTGTTAGTCTTGTACAGACGACATCTAGAGCCGTTTTTTGTTCTGAATATCTACATGTAGGTTTAATCCAACGTATATAATATATTACGCAACTATAGTACTTTTAAGCTTTTAATATAATGATCTACATTTTTTCGTAAGTAATATGCATAAAAACCTTGAAAAATAAGCTGGGGACATAGATTATGATCCTGACTCACTGCTAAATATAATTGTGTTAGTTTCAAGTTACTAGGAATGCAATAAACCGAAAGTATGCAAGATAATTGCAATCTTACGGAACGGAGTAATTCCAATTAGAATTATCGTAATTGACCCGGATTATTAACTTCTGACAGAAATATTTTTATCTGTTGATCACTTAAAATAACAAATAGCACAGTTTCAACTGAAGCTCCGTACTCCCCTTTAGCTTAACTCGTCGAGTACCGGTTTTATAGACACAATTAAAGAACAATAGGTCGCGGTCACCGGTGACCGCTTGGTGTTTGACAGTTTAAGGACACTTAACACCCATAGGTAAAGGTAAGGGGTTAGTTTAGGTGCTCCGTCACGCCAAGTAACTCTTAGTTAACTCATAGTTTAGGGGTGGTTGGTAAAAATAGCTTGATCGATCAGTAAACTCAACAACAAACTTGTCGTGATCACAAGACTTTTGACTCTGTACCTACCAAAACAAACATAACCTCAAAATTAATATATTGCAAACCGGTTAACTATTCAGTTAAGTATTCCATAGACCAGGTAATCAGTACGCAAGTCTTGTTCAGCAATAGATAACGACAACATCAACCTACTTCACTTTACGTAATATTATTTACAAAAACAATTACCTACGTGGTTTTAACGGAAACCTTTGTTTTAAATTATCTTGACGTTTGACAGTTTAGCATGACAATATTGGCTGCATACGCGCTTGACTTGTCATTTGTTTTTGAAAGATGTAAAAAATCGGTCAAGAACGAGCCTTTGTTGCCTATTGCTACGGCTATACGTAATTTTATTTCTATGGCTCCGACAAATATTCTTGAAGATAAATTATTAAATGAATATTTTCTAATAATACATTTCTAATCAAACTTTCTTTTGACTACCCGTGTAAGACTTGACGGGTTGCCGGGGCTCCGGCTCGAAGTGCAGGAGTAGGAACGGCGTGGTTTTTAGTCAGTACCCTTTTCTCGCCTCACAGACGCGGGAGGAGTCATTGGATGATTTTCCCCCCTCAAAAAAATAGTCTTTTGACTACCCCACATTTCAGTTCAACAGTTTTAATTTGAGACTCAATAAAAGCACGAAATATCTGAAAAGGATTTAGACACACAGCCCTGTGTGTGATAGATGAATAGTGGGGTTAAGTATACATACATGATATACAGTTTTCTTACAACAGATTCTTAGAGACAATGAATTTGAATTGACTTTATGATGGAGCTTTAGAAGTTAACAATATGACACTTGTTTCTATGTATCTGTGTGAAATTGATTATTCTCGCTTTTGTAATTAGATAATTGATGTATTGTCTTGCAAATTATTGT